CTGAAACGAACAATGAAAAAGCTGTATGGTGATCTGGTTTTCCTTTGTTGAACAGCCCAGAGGAAAACCCGTCAGCTAGATAATATTGTGCAAATGGATACCCTCGGTCGGCTAGTTTTTGGAGAATGCTCTTGGCTTCGCGCAGTAGGTTCTGCGGAGTGGCAGGTTCACTCTCTAAATAAGGGCTATTTCGACCAGGTTTCGGACTAGCTTTTCGTGGAGTGTCTTCTTCTACGTTCAGACCAGCCTCTTGAGCTGCTTGTATTAAAAATATAGCAAAGGAATACTGTATCTCTGAACTACTCGATTTTTTGGCATTTTGCCGGTACATCTCCAATGTCTTCTGCGCACTCAATAGTGACGCATTTGATCCTACAACTGTCCTCAGCTGTGAATTATCTAGTGAAATTGGACCCGGTGCATGTTGTCTCGTGTAAGGCATGTTAGCAAGGTCGATATACGAGATTGGCCTATCGTGAGACCTCCCCGAGTTAGCGGATCCCGTACGCCAAGTTGGTGAGTTGGGGCCATTGCCAGGCGAACGAGTTCTACCACCCAGGTCAGAATACGCAGATAATGGCCTTTGACTTGAATTATTAGAAGAATGTCTGGCATATGAGTTAGGGGTTAAGTGGCGATTCGTCGAGGATCCTGCTTCCATGAAATCAGTTAAACCTGTGCCAATGGGCATAGAAGCTCGATGGTTTGGAGTTGTGGGAGTCTGATGGTAATATTGCAATCGAGGCACCGGCTGCTCATGCGCATCAACCTCATTCTCATCGATTCGTTCGGGAATGCCATTTCCAAATCGGGTTGGGTAGGCTGCCGAGTTCTCTGATGAAGTTCTTGATGCTGAAGACGATTCCCCGGAATTTCTCAGTTCTGACGATTGAGGAGGATCTTTAACTGTTGTGGGCGGCGGCGGTGGTGTTCGGTATGGCATTTCAGCAGTCATAGGTAGAAATAATTCTGCCCGCTGAGAATTCTCATTTTCAGGAGTTCTACGTGAATCCTCTTCGTTCCCGATCTGCGACTGACGAGACTGTCGTTGGATATTGAGTTTAGTGGGAGTCATTGGCGACCCTTGTATTCTTCTAGCAGGAGGTGACGGTGGTACTGACTTTCGCCCAGGATTATTTTCTTTCGTATCTTCACCGTCAAAATATCCTGCAGGCGATCCTTTGGTGGAAGCTTTTCTGAAGCCGTCTGAACCAGGGGGGGTTGCAACTTGGGCTGGCATGGTCAAGTTCCGTATTGCTCGACCTTTGACCCGCTGTTCAACACTTCTCCACCCAAAATCCACCGGATCAGGTGAGGGATTCTTTCTGATATATCTCCGTACTCCCCGGATATCAAGAAGTTGCGCTGCAATAGTAAGATCAGTCGGTACCGAGGTAGGAGAGGAAAGGTGCGATATATGGCGAGCGAGAGTTTATCCTACGCAGGTATTTCTCACGTACTTGTATGATCGTAAACGTTGGAGATGCAAGGCAAACGAGTGTGATAGATAGATCGAGGGCTTTTCAAAAAGGGAAGGGTTTGGTCTAAGTAAAAGGTGAATCAGTAATGAGTAAGATGGTAGGTATCCTCGATCTCCATGCGGAGATTATTTGAATGTACAGTGTAAGATCTTACCGGTGTTACCTGCACAAAACTGTATGTTGAAATGATCAAATTTTGTACTCTCCCTTCAGAGTCCAAAGGGCAAGTGATTTGAATTTGAACACAAAGAAGAATGAATGTCTCCGTGGCGGTAACCTTATTCTTCTTGTTGGTTTCGGAGCATCAAAGGGCAAGTGAATAATATTTTAGGATTACACCCCTGTCGCAACCCTAGGATTTATGTATGCCCCCCGCGAGTACGATGTACGAAGGTAGTATTTGGTGGGTTGAGATACGAAGTACAGGTAGAGGTGCGGCTGATACTCTAGATGTCTTTCACACAAGATGGATGTGGATTTTCTTGTTGACAAAGTGTACGATGGAATTTGGAATCTGGAATTCTGGAATTGGCCTTCAGTTTCCGATTGTCGGCTCGGCTGTGGTTGAATTAGGGTTGGGTTGGGTTGGATTGGATTGGATTGGATTGAGTTTCGCGTGATGGGAGAGAGGAATGAAGACGCAGTGTGCAGGAATGCTGTTGTCGCACGCACGTCAAAAGAATTATCAGAAACTCTTTCTCAGCAGACTCGACCCTTCTTTCTCGGCCTCGGAAATCATAAGTACCCGTCAGTACGGACGGAGTATGGTGTGATTAGGTAGGTATGGTGGGTGTTGTGAGATGACGCTTGCAGTACCACTATTATTGGACTTTGACATGCGAATTCTTATAAATAATCTCCAACCTTCACTCTCCATAAAAGAGTTAGTTGACTGCTAATTATGATAATCATTGACATTGAGGGTCCCCGCTTTGCATATCAATCGACTAAATAATTGGATTGAGTTTGACTCCGTGCTCTGTAAAGTTCGTACTTATTACTTAGATAGGTAATTAGGGCCCTCCAAGTTTCAATGCGCGTCTAGCTCTGCCCAGCTAAGGATTACGTTGCTTGAGCGAGCCGATCTGATGCGATGTTGACTACTTTTACAGTACTGTACTAACTGTAGTCAAATCGTTGCCTAGGAGTTGTCATCATTCCCTACCTGGTCCCTCGCGATGTCTTTCTGCTCTGTATGGATCATTGAAAAAAGAAAGAGAAGGAAGAAAGAGAAGAAAGAAAAAAAAAAGTAACAGAGGCGGTTAAGCGTCAAAAAAGGAGTTGAGCTGCGGGGAAGAAACCTATGGTCCCCTCCAATCCCATTCTAGCACCGACTACATGATACATGAAAAGTCGACAAGATCCTAGCTCCCTAGTCAAGAGGATGGATAGTTTCGTTGGCTCGCTTTGAACCCTTTCCTAATATGTACCCAAGATCCGGGGTTTCTTGTGTATTCCGACCAACGAGTTACCAGTCACCACTGGGCAGTTACCACTTTTCTGACAGATGTCAATCACTTGCTACTGCATGTAGGTAGCTAGGTGCATACCGGTAGGTGTGTGTTCATGTTATGTGTGATGTTATACAGCAGTGCATTACGCTCATTACACATTACACATTACACATTACATAGTTAATCAATTCAAACATGAGACAGAGACAGACACATTCTTTTCGGTAAGACTATCGCAAGCAAATGGCAATACCATCGATGATTTTTTGGATACCAAATCAAATTACATTTCTATCTGTTACATCAGTCGACATTGATAAGCAAAGATGATAAATTGGCTCATCAAACCAATCCAGGTACATCGTATCGTATCGTCCCTCTGTCCCAATTTTCTCAAGATCGTCCAAGTCACCTGAAGTCGAAGTATCAATCAAAAAAGTGGAAAATCATGCAGATAACACGCAATATGTTATTATTATCTTGTTCATTGTTCATTGTTCTGTGATTGTTAATTGTATTCAGAAAGGTAGAGAGATTCCCCACTGTATTTATCATTTATTATTGTCTGACTCGTCACCTGTTTATGGATTGGAATACCTTTCCCGCTTCGAGTGACATTTTTCTGTCTTAGACTTCCTCGGACAGTCTACGACTACTTATCCGGAGTATATATATGTTGGCCCCCAAAAACCCGAGATTTATGATCGGAAAGAAAGAAAGAAAGTTTAGATAGCCTCATTGCTACTAGGCATCGTGTCCTTTTCCCCCTCATGCCGTATCTTGGTATCGGTTTCAAGAGCCTCTAAAAGGGCATTCCATTATCATACCGGCCAATAACTGATTACTTCTTCCCTTCACACATTTTAGCTTACTGTACGGTCTGTACCTGAATTGGATCCGAATCAACATACCGAGTCTCAAGCGCTGAGATCAGCCAGAAGAATTTTCGCACATCGAGGCTGAGTTACGAAGTCGACTTAGCTAGTTGAGAGACATCAGGCCCATACGGGCGCGCATGGAAAATAGGGCATAGCTTGGTTCTTGGGGAAAGCGAGTACGAGCAGCACACACACCTAGTCATTGTAGTTGTTGTAGTTGTTGTAGTCATACCGACTATTATCAGTAGAGGAACTATTTACGATAGTCAGGTTGAGGTCTTCAATAATCATGTACTGTACATAGATAGGATTCAGTTCGTGGGTGAGCTAAACAAGAACTTTATAAGTCTCTCTACCGGTATCAAGCATCCCACAGACTCGTCAGTGTAGTCGCAGGATGCTATGATAGCCATTTTTCGAACGTGTTGTCTTCGACAGGAATGGTTGGACAATGGATGATGACATGGAGACTAAACTCCAAGAAACTGATTGGGATAATAATTTGATTTTTTTATATTTTTTTATTTTTAAAAATTGACTTTGTGTCAAGCGGATGTGGCGATCATTCTACTTAATAGACATGGTTCATGTTCTTGATGCGGAGAATCCCTCCCCTCCTTATTAATATTTTTAACCAAGGGTCTACTCCATATAATAAGTAGGTACCAATTACCTACGATGTAGTGCCCCTTAACGATCAAGATCAGTTGACGACTTACATGGGGATTATGAAGAAACCAGAGAAATTGACGAGTTTGTCGTTTCATTCTTTCCAAATCCCACTTCTAGAGCTGTGAGGCTGGCATTCAATAAGTGTATCGTAACGCCATACCCAAGCTAAAAAAACAAAAACAAAAAACAAAAACAGATGGTGGTATTCTTGGTGGCATATTATCGGTTGGCGCTGCTCTTCTCGTATTTCCCTTGTCTTAACTCTTTCTTATGTCTTCAAGGTGGAGCGGAATGTGTCTATTCGGTCCAAATCCAACAAGCATCAGATCTGTTGGTTATCTCGTGATGAAACTCGCATCATCGGTACTATAGCGGAAATCCATAATACATCGGAGAGTCAAGCCTTTCAAGGGTGTTGCACAATACAAGTTATATAACATATATGGAAACGGAAATGTCACCGGCAAAGGTTGTGTCAATGGTATGAAACGGCTAAAGCGAATCGGTCGTGATTGATTATGTACAGGGACAAGAACGATGATGATTTACACAGATCTACCGGTGTTGAATGTTGAACGGGGTGAAGTCCAAAAGATGAGGAATGTTCCCCAAATCCCATTTCCGCGGTTGCTAATGATAGATAGATATTGTATTGTATCGTATACGGTATGATGTGCTTACAAAGGATTCTTACCTAGTGTTCTACCAAGTACCTGCCTAGGTACTGCCTAGGTACATCCACATTCAAGGTACCAATTCATTCAATCAATCCCCTCAGCAACTTCCCTTACTATCTCTGTATGTGCTAAATACTTTTATTACTAAAGCATGGATATTTTTAGGAATTTCCCTTTCAAACTCAATTGATCAGCCAATCGTTCTTCTCCAAAGTCGAATGTTGTGCGGATCTCATGTTACTCCGTACACTTGTCCCCGGTGAGCATACCATCATCCCTGATAGGCCGTGACAATATTTGTTACATTCCATAGCGGTTCTCTTTATTTGCCATTCGTTAGCAAATAACATTTCAGTATGTGAATAGCTCTGTAGGGTTGTACCCATTCTTTTTCTATCTCTCTAATCATGAACTTCACAACTTCGTTCGACCTTTCATAAACCCACCCATGGTGAAGATTAGAGGAGAAAATCATTCGTTTTTTGACTCCATTCTCTCCCAATCCACCCCCAATATATTCGGTTTCATTATCATATCGAACTTCTCATATTTACAAAAGTTTATCACTCGTTTCTTAAACAGCAAGGCGAGATCGTTCGTATTAACATCTCATTATTTACTCCGAGGGTTCCACTGGCAAAGTACCAAATAAGCTCCTGCCAAAAATCCCTACCTGCCTACCTAGAGGATACACTCGCTCACTCAAAATAAACTTCCGCTTCTCCCACTTGCGCCATCGAGATTGTTTGGCATCTCGATATATTGGAATACTCCAGATCCCAGGTCTTACTTATCACTCGTTCGAAAAAGAGAGAGAGAGAGAGAGAGAGAGAGGGAATACATACATACATACATCTATCGTACATGTTTTATTCACTCGATTAAATCACTCCATCTACCTACCTACCTACCTACATTCGTTATTTTCAAGGAATATTCATCAATCAGTACATGGACTTCTGTAACGCCGCCACCTCCTCTTGACTTTGGTCGACCAAGGAACCAAACCCACAACACTCTACAGGGATAATAAAACAATCCCTCTACTCCGTGCAAACAACATAACTTTGACCACTGTTTGACCGCCATCAATGTATGTTTCCCCATATTCTTCATTATTCTAAAGTTATACTTGCCCCTCATAATCGCTTTTGTTGCAAAGCTTGGAGGAAGAAGAGTCTAGGTGTTGGATATCTAATTTCTCTCGGGGAATTCGATTACCACTGCCTCATTCCTTCTAGCCGCTCTTGCCTGCGACAGAGACGCCGAAGTGATTGAAGTTGGAATATCCTTCTGAATCTTTCATTCATTGTTTAATAGTATCTAACAATTACACTCGAATAGAATTATGTCTCCTCCGAGGCTACCTGATCATGGTGAATCACAGAGATCTCACCACTATCGAAATAACTCGCGGCGCGCACGAGTTCAAGATGAAGAAACCGTCTATTATACTCTCCCACCAGCTTCGCCTACACATGAAAGTCGACCTTCGAAATCTTCCTTTGCTGATACAGCATCATCTCCACTGACTCCAACAATGTCTCGTGAACCAATCTCACCATCGCGAAACACAACACCTGCGACTGCGATGTCGAGGAAGCGCAGTCTTATTCGCCCCGAACGTAACAGAATCGATGAAAACCATCCCAACTACCACTATCGCCAACATGCCGCCAATATGGATACACAACCTTCAACAACTGGCAACGACCCCATAATGGAGGATATCGAGGCAGGTGCTGCGAATACAGAGACTTCGGGGCTTCGATCATCGGGGGAAGCGGAATCTGACATTGCACCACCCGCAAGACGAACCACACGCGGTCATGGAGCTGGACCAGAAGACCTCGCCTCGAATGAAAAGACCGAATTTGCTTCAAAGTCTCGAGGAAATAAACTGAAGAGGGAGAGGGTGCCAAAAATGTCCAAGGAGGAGAAGGAAAGGCAAAAGGCCCTCGACACTGTCAAACCACCTAGTCTTTGGAATGTTTATTGCGCCATTGTAACCTTTTGGTGTCCAGGGTTTGTTCTCAAGTGTTTTGGCTTCCGTTCTAAAGCACAACAAAGAGCTTGGAGAGAAAAGATGGGACTGATCAGCATTATTCTCTATATCATGGCATTTGTGGGATTCTTGACGTTTGGATTTACCGCGACAGTGTGTGGGACGGGTTCAGGTCTACGATTACAAGTCAACCATGTGGATTCTGGATATATGATCTTCCACGGTAACGCGTATGATCTTTCAAAATCAGAACATCCCGCTGCAACAGGCATCACAAATGGGGCAAACGTTCTCTATGACTTGCCCCAAAAGTATGGGGGTATGGACGGAAGTTTCTTGTTCCAGAATGTCAATGGCAAATGCAAAGGTTTGATCACTTTAGCTGATGGATCGGACGTTCCAACCAATTCTGACAAGGATCTTGCATGGTACTTCCCTTGTCATGCATTCAATCAAGATGGTTCAAGCTCTCCAAATGAGACAACTGGTGCTTATTTTGGGTACGCGTGCCATTTGCAGGCAGATGCTCGCTCATCATTCTACGCACTCAATAGTGCTGGAGCCGTCTATTTCACCTGGGATGACATCAAAAATTCTTCAAGAAACCTGATGGTTTACTCTGGCAACGTTCTTGACCTAGACCTTCTGAAATGGTTCAACACCACTCAAGTTTCCGTTCCATCCAGGTTTACCACCCTTGCCGATAAGACTTCATCCGCCAACGCCGCTGTACGCGGCAGGGATGTTACACATGCCTTCCAATCTTCAGAGGACAAGAAGATTGCTCAATGTTTCGAGCAGATTATTAAAGTTGGAAGTATTGATACCGAAACTGTTGGATGTATCGCTTCCAAAGTAGTCCTTTACGTCTCTTTGGCGTTCATTCTTGCCATTGTTCTGGTCAAGTTCGTCTTAGCTTTGATATTCCAATGGTTCATTGCCTCGAAATACGCCGCATCAAAGACTTCTCAATCATCCGACCCCAAGAAGCGTCAACAACAAATCGAAGAATGGTCCGATGATATCTACCGGGCTCCTCCAAGAATGGCTGGTGATATTGGTAGCTCCGCTGCGGGATCTGGATCTGACAAGACAAGCAAACGAACTAGTGTGTTCTTGCCAACAACATCTCGTTTCTCAAATCCTTATGCCGCTGCTGATCGATCATCTCGCGTTGGACGTCCTCAACCTACAACCATGGCAAGTCAAGCCTCGACAGCTCAGTTGATTCCCCCAAACCCTATGTTCCGAAATCAGAACGGTAGCCGAAACAGTCTTTTGCGAACTGATAACTCGAATGATCTCGATGGGTCTGGACCTACCAGCTTCATTCATGATCTAGTAGTTCCTCAGCCACCAAAAGAATGGGAACCATACGGCTTCCCTCTGGCTCATGCAATTCTTCTCGTGACTGCCTATTCTGAAGGTGAACTTGGTATTCGTACGACCCTCGACTCTATCGCTACGACTGATTATCCTAATAGTCACAAAACTATTCTGGTTATTTGTGATGGTATTATTAAGGGTGAAGGTGAACCAAAGTCAACACCAGAAGTTGTTCTTGGCATGATGAAAGATTTTGTCACTCCTGTTGAAGAAGTTCCTGCATTCTCTTACGTCGCGGTCGAAAGAGGTTCAAAGAGACATAACATGGCCAAAGTGTACGCTGGATTCTACGATTACGGTGCTGATTCTACTATCAACGTAAATAGACAACTCCGAGTTCCAATGGTGTGTATTGTAAAGTGTGGTACTCCTGATGAAGCCACACACCGCAAACCTGGAAACAGAGGCAAGCGTGACAGTCAAATTATCTTGATGTCTTTCTTACAGAAAGTCATGTTTGATGAACGTATGACTGAACTCGAGTTTGAAATCTTTAATGGATTCTATCAAATTAGTGGCATCTTCCCGGATATGTATGAGGTTGTTCTTATGGTTGATGCAGATACAAAGGTTTTCCCTGACAGTTTGACACACATGGTATCGGCAATGGTTAAAGATCCTGAAATTATGGGACTTTGCGGAGAGACAAAGATTGCGAACAAACGTGCCAGTTTTACAACTGCGATACAAGTTTTCGAATACTTCATTTCTCATCACTCTGTCAAATCTTTCGAATCGATTTTCGGTGGTGTTACTTGTCTTCCTGGTTGTTTCTCCATGTATAGAATCAAGGCTCCAAAGGGCGGTAACTATTGGGTTCCTATCTTGGCCAATCCTGATGTCGTCGAACATTACTCGGATAACGTAGTAGACACGCTACATAAGAAGAACTTGCTACTTTTGGGAGAGGATCGATACCTCTCAACACTCATGCTTCGAACATTTCCCAAGCGTAAACAAGTATTTGTCCCACAAGCTGTTTGCAAAACTCAAGTACCAGACTCTCTTTGGGTTCTCATGTCACAAAGACGAAGATGGATCAACAGTACCGTCCACAATTTGATGGAATTAGTTTTGGTCAGAGATCTTTGCGGTACTTTCTGCTTCAGTATGCAGTTTGTCGTCTTTATCGATCTCGTCAGTACTCTGGTGCTTCCCGCTGCTATTGCCTTCACAATCTACGTCGGTAAGTAAAATCGTTCTTCATGAAATTGTCATATCTTACTAATCATTTTCTAGTAATCATTTCGATTATTCGTCGCCCTGTCCAAATCATTCCGCTTGTACTTTTGGGATTGATCCTTGGTCTGCCAGCAGTTTTGATTGTTATAACAGCTCATCGTTGGGTTTATGTTCTCTGGATGATGATTTATCTTGTCTCCTTGCCAATTTGGAATTTCTTACTCCCAGCATACGCCTTTTGGAAATTCGATGATTTCTCATGGGGAGATACTCGTAAGACTGCGGGTGAAAAGACCAAAAAGGCAGGTATTGAATACGAAGGAGAATTCGATAGTTCAAAGATTACCATGAAGCGATGGAAGGAGTTTGAGAGAGAAAGAATCTTAAGAAGTAACCCAAGTTGGGTTAATTCAAATACTTCATTGAATAAAGAAAATCATCGTTGGCAGCAACATCAATATGATGATTATGCGGATAGTTGAGGTGGCTTGGATAGGGTTATTCTGATGGAAGGGTAATGAACGGGGTCGATTAGACTTTGCTTGTTGTTTATTATTGAGCGTACATAATGCATCCCGTGTTTGGAAAGTGGGATGAAAAAATTCCATGATTTTTTGTGGGTTGGGGCGGTAGTATAGTCAGTCAGTCAGTCTCCCTTTTTGAAAAAGAGGGCGTAATATTATATTGTTTTGTAATCGTAGTCTTGAACTAATTTTGGTGGTTTATGAGGCTTTTTTGGGGGGTTTTTGATTGAGGGTGTGGGTGGATGGGGGCTGTACACGGTTTTATGAGATTATGGGTTGGGGGTGGGAAAAGTGGAAGGTGGCAGGTGGTATTTATATAGCGTTTGTTTGTTTGGATGGATGGATGTGAGCGGTGAGGTGTGAGGGGGGGTGGAATTAATTATATTCATCTTTTCATTCTTTTGATCTCGAATGGATAGTTGTAAGTGAGCGAGCGACTGGAAGTTGTGAGTAGCATGCATGTAGGTATCTAGATTACTTGTATGTGTGTGATTGATGATGAGTGATGAATTTAGAAGTTTGTAATTGATGATTGATAGATCTTGTGGATTGGGATTGGAGTTGGATTGGAGTTGGAGTTTGATTCTGAGTTGGAGTTTAATTCTGAGTTGGAGTTTGATTCTGAGTTGGAGTTTGAGTGATGAGTGATTTGTATGTGATGTGTGTGTGATTTGTATGTGAAGTGATGTGGGATGTGGGATGTGGGATGTGGGATGTGAGGTGTAGACTCCTGATCAATTCAAGAAAAGAGGCGAAAAGGGAGGGGATGAGTGAATCTTGGGTCATCGCAAGTGTATACTCTGGGGTTGGTGATGGTGATGGTGATGGTGATGTTGTTGTTGTTGTTGTGTGCTAGGTTGGAGGGGGATAGATGGGTTTCTGAAAGGTGGATGGTTGGATGGATGGTGGGATTATTAGTGTTGGACTTGAGGGGATGAGAGGGAGAGGAATGGGGGAAGGAAGGAAGGAAGGAAGGAAGGAGAGGGAGTAACGGTATGTATAAATCATAGATGGGAATAATATTGTGGATAGGAGGATAGTAGTGTGAGGGAATAAGTAAATGAATTAGTGGATATTTGGGTTGGGATTGAGGTTGAGGTTGGGGTTAGAGATGAGTTGAGTGGGTGGGTGGGTAGGTAGGTAGGTAGATGGATAATTGGATTTTCTAGAGTGGATAAATGAATGAATGGTCATTGAAGTTATGAATATTGGACTTGGACTTGGAAGGAAAGAAAAGGGAAGTAAGGAAGGAGAGTAAGTAATGGATGGTAGTAATGGAAGTAGGTATGGATGGTAGGTATGGATAGTAGGTATGGATAGTAGGTATGGATAGTAGGTATGGATAGTAGTGTGAATAAGCGAGTGAGTAGACGAGTGAGTGGATGCCAGTATTGGGCTTGGGCTTGGCAATGAGTTGGGTAGGTAGGTGGGTGGGTAGGAGGGCAGGTAGGAGGGCAGGTAGAAGGCTAGGTGAGGGTTTGTGTAGAGTAGTACGTATGTAGGTAGGTGTCGATGTATACTGGTGTGTATGTATGTATTTGTTGTGGGATGGGATGAGATGGATGGAAGGTCAGATAGAATGAGAGGTTAGATAGGATGGGATGAGATTGGAGGGGGGAAAATCCTCAAGTGGTTTGTTCCGTATTTATCGATCGCGATTGTTGGATTGGATAAGGAGTAGAGCAGAGCAGATGGTAGTTAGTGAAAGTATGGATGTGGATGTGGATGTGGATGTATTGTTGATAGATAATGAATAGATAATATTGAGAGAGTTTGATTGTGGGCGGATTTTTTTGGATAGTAGATATAGAGCTGGGAATTGGGATTGGAGTTTGAGGGGAAGGAGAAGGGTGAGAGAGGAAAGGGGATAGGGGAGGGGGGATGAAGATTGAAGATTGAAGATTAGAATTATTAATGTTTATTTTCTTCTTCTAGTCTGTATCAAAGAAGAAGAAGGAGTATGTTTCCTCGATTTTGCGAGTCGAGAGGTGGATGTAGATGGGATGAAGGATGAACACTGATGAGAAAAACTAGAGGAGGGAGAGAGCAAGAGCTAATGGAACGGCAATCGCAATCACAATCGTATTCAAATTCGTATACGTAGTAGTAGCAATAGCGTTAATCCCAAAGCGGAGCGAGATAAAAAGTTCTATGATATTGAATAGAAGAGAATGAGATGGGATAAAATGGGATAAGATATAAATATAATATTTGATCAAGAAAATATAATGGGAGAATAAGATAAGTGGGAAGGAAGGAAATACTATCGAGATGTTAAAATGAGATGGGGTATTTTGTGTGCTATAGTAATATAATTTGAGTGTGAGATGAGAAATGGGATTTTGGATTGTAGATTTTAGGGGATGATATTTTTCTAGATCGGTTCTGTTTTTGAGTATTTATTATATACTAGGTAGACAGGTAAATACAATATAACAAATAGCAAGTCAACTCATTTCTAAAGAAAAGAGAAAATTACTTTAATAAAAGCTTGAGAGAATCTTAAGGAAATTATTATATTAGAAAATTGACTAGTTGATTAGTTGACTACAAGTGAGTAAGTAAATGAGTTGACTACAAGTAAGTAAGTAAATGAGTTAATTATATGATAAAAGATTCAATCTAGATTTGAGTTTAGATCTGACCTACCTTGAATTTGACTTCAAGTTTAGAGAATATAGAGGGAAGAAAATAAAGGGTTGAATGAGTCTGTGTGTATATATAGATCTAGGTATAAATGTTACATAGAGTTGAGAGAATGAAATATAACTATCAACCTCCAACTTTCAAGAAAAAGATTCGATGAAGTGTACAGATTCTACATTTTATTTGTAAAGGGAATATGTATGTTTAGGTATTTATAAGAATGAGCAAGATATCTATAAGTTGTTTCATTACTACCTAGATAGTTATGATAGAAGGAGGAGAAGATGATGAGTGGACGAATAGGTGAGCAATAAGTAGGTAAATGGGTAGTTATGTCAACTATACTGTATGTAGTATGAAGAATTAGAAATATAGGAATTCGGGGATCTGTATGTGATGATGTATTCAAGTAACTAGACACCACAACAGAACATAAAAGAGAGAAAGCGAGGAACATTTTCATGTACAATCTATATACAAGACAACTTTCTAAACTCAATATTCGATATTAGACCATGAGATAATACAATATAATGTACGATGCAGTGTAAAGTAGCACAATAATCCCCAATCCAATCACCCTCATAACTCCTATCCCATCCTATCCGAACTTGCGGATTTGTATTGAAAACTTTTCGTAAAATTTCTCCGAGTCACTGATTATCATCTATACTTCCATACTTCCTGCCCATAACACCAAAAAACCAATCTTCACTTGAACCTCCCTACCCTTTCCTACCCCATTCTATCTCTCTGCGGTGGACTGGGTGTATATGCCGTTACACTTCCTCGATAAACATACGCTTTTCGCCCGAAAAAACAAAAACAATTAGCAACTTCGTATCTCAAAAATCGAAAATCAAATCTTAATTCAAAAAGCATTCAAAAAGACAACAGAATAAAAAAACAGATCATCTATCCTCCTTATCTTTCCATCCCTCTTGTTTCATCAGATTATCTTCGAGAAGTTGATACGTACGTTGACCCTTCTGTAATCCAGCTAATCCACTCCTCTCCATCATATCCGTGAATGTAGTGTTGTGACTTCCTCCTCTTTGTCCTTCTACTCCAAATGTTGGTGGTAAACCGAGATGATTTACATTTTGTGATTGGTTTTGATTTTGTTGTTCTCTTACTTGTCGAAAAGAACTCGCTGTATCGGCATCTGTAAATATATTTATATCTTCAAAACTCGGTTCGCGTTGTAGAGGAGGAGTAATAGGTCGATCAGGTGCACTTCCTTGTTTTTTTCTTTGAATATTGAGTGGAATTGGTAATGCTGGAGGTGGACTATTTTGATAAGCTATGTTGGGACTATTGGACATTCCTGTGGCGGTGGATTTTCGAAATAAGGACTGAACTCGTGTTATGGTTTTATTTCTTCGAGGAGTACCATCTGCAGATGTTGAAGGAGTTTGAGGCATTTTGCGAAGGAAATCGGTACGAACGTCGCTGGTGGGGACAGGGTCGGAGATGTTTCCAAAGGAGGAACCGCTTTTGCGTTGGGAATGTTTACGCCGACCGAGACAGCATGTGGTGAGAAGGGTAAGAATAGCTCCTATAGCCATACCTGGAAATAACCCGATGAGGATTGCAACAACGGGGAATTTGTCGCATGTTTCTGGGATGATAGTTATAGGTGTGCCGGTTGAAGATGGGGTTGAAGTAGACGATGGGTTAGTGAACGAAGGACTGCCAGAAGTAGCGGTTACTTGTGTACCTGAGCTCGTGGTTACAGATGATGTTCCGCTGCTCACCGCAGAACTCTGTTGTTGACCTGGAACGGAATCCGCTTGATCGGCGTTCATCTGACAGTTGCCATTCACGCAAGTGTAACCAAATGGACAGCAATTACTTCCACATTTTTCCAAAGTTGCTGTCAGAGCTGTAGTTTTGAGTGTATTTTCAGGATGTGAAGTGATATTTTGTTGAGTGATATCGCAAGTAATAGGTTGTATAGTGCTACAATCACTTCCACTAGGACAACATAATAAGGTGGTGTTTTGTGCTAAAGCTATACAAGTCGAAGTGGAAGGGCAACAAAAGTCTGATGGTAGCCCAGTATTTGCACATTGTACATAGCTCGCTTGAGGACATGTTGCCCGCTCGAAGATAGTGTTTGCTTGCGCGAAATTTGAGCTTAGAAGACAAACGAACATCAATAGCGAGTGTTTGCTGATTCGACTTTGCCTCATAGCTGCGACCATTTGTAAGGCCACTTTTCTTTCCGAAAATGTATCAAATCGTGCGTAGACCTTGAATCAGTGAACTTTGTGTTAAGATGGCTGGCAAAGTCAAAAGATATCAATAGTATGAATGAGTGTTAGAAGTAGGAATAAATGATACAAAAAGTATTATTGTAGAATATGCAAAGTCCGGAAAAAGTATATCACGAGAAGAATTCGGGGAGAAATTGTGAATATAAAAGAGTAGCAAAGAAAGATAAAATTAGAATCGAAAGATTTTTTTCCCGCGTGAAAGAATGAACAATGAAAGTCAAGAGATTCCAGAAAGGAAAAAAATGGAGCGGAAGTTTTTGAGTATGAAGAGAAACAAACTAAACTTCCTTTGTTCACTACCCGATCAAGCGTTTGACTTGACTTTCGTCATATAGCGTTTCTGTAAGAGACTTCTACTTCAGAAACACATGGTTTTAGAGGAATCAAAGG